GCACTATATGAAAGACAGTATGATATAGTGCTTAGAGCATTGGACTAGGCTTCGCACCCTGTCATAGAAGCTGCTGGGTGACCTTGGGTCAATCATATACTCCTGGCCTAACCAATCTCATGTAGTTGTTGTGAAGGTAAAATGGAAGAGAGAATGACGTAAGCGGCTTTGGGCTCTCATTGTGGAGAAAGGTAGACTATAAATAAATAGCAATATATGAAAAATTGTACAGCTGTCACTTGTCTTCCAGTGTGTATTTTGAGAAATGCATACTTTTTACCATTAAAATTTTTTGAAGCTGACTACGTTGCTTTCTGCAAAAGAAAGTGAATGAGTACCCTCACAAGTAACTTGCATCAAGAGAACATCAATTTAATGAACAAAATCTATTATAAATGCCTTTTGTTTGTTTTGTTTCTCTCTCATTCCCTCAGTCTAACTCATGGGTGGCCAAACTTGCTTAATATAAGAGCTTAAAAAAAATTAAAATAAAAAATGATAATATTTATTTCTCCAGTGATTTTGATTTGTTTGCTAATTATATTTATTTGTCTAAGAGAGAGGGGGGGTAGAAAGAAAGAGATAGAGAGAAAGGAAGGAAGCAAATAGATGGGGAGGGGAGAGGATGGAAAGAAGGAAGGAAGAGAAAGAGAAAAGTGGTGGAAAGAAAGGAGAGAGAGAAACAGAAACAGAGAAAGCAAATGGGGGAGGGAGGGAGGGAGGAAGGAAGAGAGAGGTTGAGGAAGGAAGAAACAAAGAAAGCAAATAGATGAGGGAGGAGGAGGAAGGAAGAGTGAGAGAGAGAGAGGAAGGAAGGGAGGAAGAGAAAAAAGGTGAAAAGAAAGGCGGAAAGAAAGCAAATAGATGGAGAAAGGAGGGAGGGGAAAAGAGAGAAATAGAGAGAGGTGGAAAGAAAGCAAATAAATGGTGAGGAGGAAGAGGTGGAAAGAAAGCAACTTTCACACTGGCTGGGGAAGGGAAGACCAAGTGGGGAGGCATGCCTCCCCTTCGCTTCCCCAGCTGCCCTACCAGGAGTCACACAATATGTGTGAAAGAGCCACATGCGGCTCCCAAGCTACAGTTTGGCCACCCCCGGTCTAACTGATTTTGAACAGTTTTATATACTCTGTGGGTTCACCTATAAAAACAGGTAATATGAGGAAGCGGGGAATGTGGGAAGGGGAAAAAGCAGAGCAACTTTAAAATTGGGCTTGACTTCAAAAGATGGACATTTTTATGGTCACAGATTTTTTTATTAATTATATAAAAATTATGTATTCCTTTTGGTTAATCTTTGTAGGGATCCTTACTTTTGACATAGATGAGACATTAATCACAGTGTGCAAAGAATGTGCGGGAAAAAACCTAGGATTTTTTCCATTTGAGTCATTACAGGAAATGCACAGCTGGAATAGTAGGATTTTTTAAAAATAGACACTTTTTAAAATTGCAAGACATTGGCATCATATTTGTTCCTGCAAAAAGCAGCATTCACATGTTCACGCATGCACACACGCAACCGAAGCCACCATACAGCCCAGTTTTGCTCCTCGGTGGCTTTTCAATACTATTATTTTAGGGAATCTTGCTTCTTGCCTGTCCCACCACTCTTAAAATAAGTTAATATGCTATCTTTAGGGCAAATGGAAAAAAAAAATGACTGAGCACCAGAACAAATATTAGACAGGGTGGGATGGGACTGATCTCTAGCACAGTTTTATTCCCACTGACATTCCTTGCAAGGTCTATATTGGTAGCTCACAAATAAGTCACACAATAAAGTAAAGCTAATTTCACTGGGGAAAAACAAGGCAACAATAGTTATAGAGAGCTTCTGGGCCAGAGAGGCGGCCCTGCAGCTTCAAGAATTCTGGGAAAGAGAGGATGTATCACAAAAAAGAGGAACATTTGTCTCTTCTGGGAAACATTTCTATCAAGCAATCTGTAGATCAAGTCTTTCCCAACTCTGGTCATAAATTCAAGATGGATCCTCTTGCGCCTGAACAGTGGCTCATTATGCATGCACATCCTACTGCAGATTTTCAGAGCAGTAAGCCTTTAATGTTGACTTCGGATTCTGTAGCCACCTTAAGCACCATTCTTTCTCCTCAGGTGTATTTTGCAGCTACAATAAAAAACCTGCACTTCTCTAAACTTGTGACGTGTTGGGGGTGGCATCCAATAAAAAAACCTGCACTTCTCTAAATTGGGGTGGAACATCACTTGTGACATGTTGGGGGTTGCATCCAAAGTTTAAAAAACAAATTTACACAATTTCCCTATTGCAGCTGCACAGTAGTGTCCAGCATGCAGTAGTGTCCTCGTGGTTCAGGTTTTACGCATGCATGAATGCTTGAATGAAAGGGAAAAGAAAGGAATGAAGGCAAAGGGGGGAAACTCAATGATGAAACTGACCAGACTATTTTTTGAAACTGACAAGCAGCTGTGAAGCCCCTTTTCCATATTGTGACGCACTAGGGGATTCTCTATCAACCACTGTGAAAGATGGGAAAGAGTCACACAATCTCATAATATGGGGGAACCTGTTGAGTGTACAGAATGCAGGGTAGAACTCACTGACACTGGCATTGCAAGCTGTGATAGCTGGCAGTGTGTGTGTGTGCTTGCCTATGTAAAGTTGGTGGCAACTCCACCACACTTTGCACAGGGCTGCAATTTGTATGGGGGAGGAGTCCTCTGGCAGAAGCTCTGGAGAGCTTTTTTAGTCTTGTCCCACAAAATTGAAAAAAGGGGGGTATTTTCGCCAGTGCCCTAGCACAGCTGCATAATGTTAATCTCCTGCCCCTTCTTGCAAATTTGTGTGGTTTTCTCTTTGTGATTCTCTAATTTGTTCCTGCACACTGGTTGTGATCTTAGCAGTTTTTTAGAGCCTGTTCTGTTGGACTGCACTCTGCCCCCCAAATGGATCGATCCCAAGCACTTCTTCTTCTTCTTTTAAAAAAATTAACCATACAATACATTTTACATCAGATATCTCCTACAAACAAGGTTTAAAAAATAGATATTACTTTGGTCCAACTAGAGAGCCACTTAACACCTTTGTGACTACAAATAAAGCTAAGAAACGCAAACCGTAATGCTTCAAAAACTGATGTATATGAGTAATTTTTTTCTTCTTCTTCTTCTTAACATAGAAATTTTTATCATGCACACATAAATTACATACTTTAATAAGCCAGTCATGGGTTGAGGGAAGTACCTCTGACTTCCAAGTCCCACCCAAGACTGCTTTAGCTACTGTACATAAAATTGAAGTTAATTCCTGTTTTTGTTTAGCTATAGTATTATCACTGCAAAGATTGAGCAGGAGGACTTCTGCCCTGAATGGAATGTCACGTGACATAATCTCACAAATCTGAGCATGACTATGACACAAGGATTCCACCCTGCCACATGCCCATCAAGCAATTCTTAAATTCAGCAGTTTGTAAAAGGTCCATGCGGCTCAGCCACCATTTAATGTTAGGCTTCCAAGACGGCCAAAATGGGTCCTTCCCCACAACATTGTTCACTAAAGCATGAAAGGGAAAAATGTTTCCAAAGCTTTAGGCTTCCCACCCCAGTGTCTGTCTCCTTTACATCTCATGTCAATTTCATTCCATGCTGATGATCCACCCTTTATTTTGTTTGCGTGCAGCAAGGAAAGTCTTCCTAATTGTTTTCAGGCCAAGTAGACCATATGGCTGTCTACCTGCAGCCTCTGGCTTTTTTTTTTTTTAAGGAAGAAGCAGTTAGACAGAACCCAAAATATGAACATTCTTAACCATTTGGAATGGCAAGTATTTGTGGAATAGATCTCGAATCTAAAATGCTTTGTTGGCTACCGCATAACCAACATGCCCTCCTCAAGTTTCTTCCTATTCATCAAACTATGCACTTTATAGGCTAGTGCTGAAGATTCTCCAAGTTTGGGAATGGCTAGTTGGAAGGCTGCGGTTGGTACAGGGAGGGCTCAACAATGTTCCTACATGTGCACACATCCACACACAGCCTCTGAAATCCAGCCCTGTATTTATTCCCATTGAAGTCAACATGAGGTTGCTTTGTATATCCCACTATTGATTTCACAAGTGCTGTCTCTTGCTGTGTCAGATCCAGTCTTGGCTGCCACTGACACAATTACTCCTGCTGCCTTTTTAATTACTGAAAAATAGGCTGATTGGATGCTCAAAACTCTAGGAACTCTAATGGGCTGAGTGACACCAAGCAAGTACTATCTTAATGCAGCCAAAACTTGAGTCAGTAAAGAAAAACAGCCCCTGAAACAAACACTATAAGTTTGGGTTTTGCAAAAAGCTGGTTGTCTTCTATTATCAAGTTTTTTCCAAGGCCCTTCTCAAACCTGTTTAGCTGGCCTCCACCATGAAGTTATTAACCAATAAGGAAGTTTTTTTGCTATCTCTGGTATAAAGCCTCTTCCAGTACAGGAATGGAATTGATTAGAACTTGGGTCAGGTTCTTTTAAATAGTGGCCCTATAGAATCAACTATCCACTGTGGCCTGACTCTGTAGGCCATGAATGGACAGTACAAGCACCTCACATGCTTATAAAATGTTGCTGATAAGGACCTCAGCGAGTTGTTTTGAGGAGGCAAGAGGATAGAAGCCTCTATGGGCCATATGTGGCTTGCTACATGTGCTTTGAAAGGGGATGTTTAGTATGTGGTATGTGTGAGGGAGGACAGGAGGAATTAGGGAGCCATGATTGATTGATTTATTTTTTGGAATCACAATGGAGATTCTTTAGTTGCTGTTGAGAACCACCGAAATACAATAATATAATTGGCTTCATATCCAAAATTCATGCCCAATTTCATGCCTACTTATCTACTATGTGCAATTTTGTTAACGAGTGTAAAAAGGTAATTCTAAACTCCACTGGATTAAGCACTTCATGCATTATTACAGTCTTGAAAAAACGCTGCTCTTTATTTTTCGCAGGGAAAGACATGATCACAAACAAATTAAATAAGCCTTACCAACAATCATGTGATTGCAGATGTCGCAGAAAGTGGGCTTTTTGAAGATGTGTTCTTGGAAAACGTGAGCCTTGTTGCCTTCCTGTTGGTTATGGATCTTGGTCGGAGTAGACGACTGACTTTCTGAGGCTGGGAGGTGGCCAGTTCTGGGGCTGATCTCCGACAACAAATCGACTTGCAACTTCATGTCACTGTTTGTCCGCTGGAAAAAGTTGTCTGCGCTTTTACTCCGCAAACTTTTGGTCTTGAAAGACAGCGACCGTTTCAGTTTCTGGAGCTGCAATACAACAACACAGACGTTGCCAGTGGTAAAGCACTCGGTCTGTTCTCAGACCCCGACTTCTGTGCAACTCCTGATGACATTCACTGCATAAACATTAATGTCATGACAAATAGATGGGCTTTTAGGCCAATCTGGACTCATTCAACATTCACTCCAAACACTCCATTGTCCTAGGTCAGAGACAAAGATAAACAGTGAGCACAGATCCCCATCTTACGTGTTGAGTCCTTTCCCTCAAGAAAATGAACCTATAGGTGATTTATCACAGAATGGCAGCATGGGTTGGGGGAAAGGCCTTTGTGGTCCAGATAAGACCTGTGGGCATAGGATGCATATTTTGAGCCCCTTTGGCATGAGATAGCAGAGGAATGGCTACCCCACAGTCAGGCCATGCTCCACAAATGATAGCAAAACTGACTGGCCCTTATGTTTTTACTTGGCTGCCTAATTTCTCTTGCTATAGAAAGCTGCATTATCTGTTGTAAGAGAATCCACTGCTTGCGTGGAAGCAACTAGAGTTGTTAGTAGGACCAGGGTTGTTGAGGGTGGATGAGGGATTAAGTACACAAAATCTCAGGGTCCCTGGTCATTCTGGGAGAACAGGGCAAGGTGGTTCTGGGGGACATTAGAAGCACACCTGCTCTCCACTAGCATCTTGTTTTCTTCTAAATGTGAGGGGAGGCAGATGGAGTCATCTTGTCTGAAGGCCAACTGTGGCTCTTTTCAGCCCTGGATAGGATTAGACTATTCATATGATTTTGTACAGTTAGCAACCTGGACAAGCTTTGATAAGATGCTTGTGGTGTGTCTGTGTAAAAACGAACCCAAACCTCCTCTCACATCAGCTTAGCAGTAACACAGAGTGCTTCTAGTTTACCTTTCACACCCAATTAGTGTGAGCCACAGAGAGGCATTATTTTCTTGGCTGGTGTGACATACCATGAAATTTTCCTAGAGTCTGTCTGATGCAGCCAAGCAACCATTGCTTACACTGGTCTAGAAAATATTTACAAATGAAACAGCGGCTATTGGCACCGATCAGTCTCTTAAGCACAAGGGAGTGAGGACACATACTTTTGTGAGAAAGTTGAAGTGGTAGCCTATAACGTGAAATTGAAAGCTGTCATCTTCGGGGAGGGGGCGTCACTTTTTTTTTTTGTTTCTCACATTTTTCATGGGCAACTAGTCGATGCTGTTGGCATTGAGAAGAAGGTCTTTCTTTTTTATTGGTAGTTTTGTGTGTGTGTGCACGCGTGTGCCTGAAAGTCATGGTGACTTCTGACAACTCCTACTGGGGCATGGAAGACATTCAGATAAGTGGTTTGATAGCCTGCCTCTGTCGCCCTGCCTTGGTATTCGTTGGAGGTCTCCCATCCAAATACTTGCCGGGGTCGGTGCTGTTTAGTTTCCGAGACCTGACGAGATTGGACTTGCCTGGGTTATCCACATCAGGGCTTCTTGGGATTCTTTCAACTATTAGAAGCAGGAGCTCAGGGGCACTTGACCTCCAGTTAATGGGAGACTGCTGCTTGAGGGTTTCTTCTAGCCAGTGTACTTGACTAGGAGACCCACTCATCTAAAGCGGGTATAGATGGAATGGGACCAGATCAGGGACTGAGTTACTGCCAAGGACAACAGGGGTCTTTACAACCTGAGCAATGGCTCCGTTTGCCATGCAGATGTACTGTGGTTATAGCACAGAGCAAGGGATCCATGATGTTCCCCTATAGCCTTTGGTGTCTTCAGGGAAATGAATCTGAGATTTTTAAAAAATCTTTTTGGCCTTTCTGTTAACTCGGTGACCAGCAAGGTCTGACAGCCTAATGACAGTGCCTCAAGCTGCTCATCAGCTTCCAGTGCGCACTCTCCCAGCTGCCTGGTAGAAAGCCTCCCTTTATACCTTAAGCCTTTTCTCTTTCAATCTGGGCCACTTTTGCGGCATCACACAAAGCTGCATTATGCATGCTCAGTAAAGCTCCACTGAAAGGGAAGAAGAGCTACACAGGAGAAGCCTGAACATCAGCAGGCACTCCAACGTGGAGGGCACATTTCTGAGCGCACAAGGGCACAATGCAGTGGTGATTTTCCATCCATTTCTTTGGGACTTGCCTTGAGATCCACACAGGGTTGTTAGCCTCCAGATGAGGCCAGGAGATCTCCCAAAATTACAACTGACCTCTAGACTACAGAGTCCAGTTCCTCTGGAAAAAATGGCGGCTTTGGAGGGCAGACTCTATGGCACTGTACCTTGCTGAGGTCCCTCCCCTCCCTAAATCCTGCCATTCCTGGGCTCCACCCCCCAAATCTCCAGGAACTACCCAGAGTTGGCAGCCCGACAGCCACATGCTCCAGGACCTTCCATTGATTTTAAATGAGGTTTGCACGGGAAGACGTGCTACTGGATCCCATGTTGCTGGGGTGGGCCTTACTCCTATCCTACCAGTCCAACCTTTCTTTTTGGCCCAAGTTTGAAGCCTTCCTCTAATCTAAGGAGACTTC